AAGAATACAAGAACCTGGTGAATCAGTTTCAGCATATGCCATTGCGTTACGGAAACTCGCCAGCACCTGCTGTTTTGGGGACTACCTGCCCACTGCTCTGCGAGACCAGTTTGTAATGGGCATTTCAAGTGATGCAATGCTAAGGAGACTGCTTACAGAAGAAGATTTAACATTTAAATCCTCTAAGGATGCTAATCAATTACACAGCAGACTGGACAACACACAGGAGGCAGAGGTAGAGGTTTTAAAATTAGATGCTAGAGCGCCAAGTGAACCACAGGGAAAGAGACATTCAAAAGAGGAACATTCACATTACAAATGTTATCGCTGCGGAGCTGATACACATGTTGCAACTGCATGCAGATTCAAGGATGCCAAGTGTCATGCTTGTGGTAAAATGGGCCACCTACAAAGAGTGTGTAAATCCACAGCAGAGAGAGGCAGTAATCGCTTGAGAGACAGAGCAAAGAATGCCTATAGAGTACAACTGCAGGAGTCTTCTGAGGATTTGGATGAACAATTTCCTGTCCGAAATTTAAAAATATATAAAATAGGTTCTAATCTGGCTGCATTCACAGTTCAGGTTGTTGTAAATGGAAAGGAACTGACTATGGATTTGGACACAGGTGCAGCTGTATCAGTGATTTCTTTGACAGACTGGAAACGCCTTAAAATACATAATAATTCAGACAACAGCTAAGGAGACTGCTTACAGAAGAAGATTTAACATTTAAATCCTCTAAGGATGCTAATCAATTACACAGCAGACTGGACAACACACAGGAGGCAGAGGTAGAGGTTTTAAAATTAGATGCTAGAGCGCCAAGTGAACCACAGGGAAAGAGACATTCAAAAGAGGAACATTCACATTACAAATGTTATCGCTGCGGAGCTGATACACATGTTGCAACTGCATGCAGATTCAAGGATGCCAAGTGTCATGCTTGTGGTAAAATGGGCCACCTACAAAGAGTGTGTAAATCCACAGCAGAGAGAGGCAGTAATCGCTTGAGAGACAGAGCAAAGAATGCCTACAGAGTACAAACGCAGGAGTCTTCTGAGGATTCGGATGAACAATTTCCTGTCCGAAATGTAAAAATATATAAAATAGGTTCTAATCTGGCTGCATTCACAGTTCAGGTTGTTGTAAATGGAAAGGAACTGACTATGGATTTGGACACAGGTGCAGCTGTATCAGTGATTTCTTTGACAGACTGGAAACGCCTTAAAATACATAATAATTCAGACAACAGCGAGACTGCAGACATATTCTAAAGAGCTGTTAATACCAGTGGGTTGTGTGACAGTCACAGTTACATTCAACAAATGTAAGAAGAAACTACCTCTCTATATCTTAGAGAATGGAGGACCTTCACTTTTTGGTAGAGAGTGGATAAAGGCTCTCGGGATGCCTCAAATGCATAAGTATCCATGTCATGCGTTGAATGAAAATCAGACCAGACTTGACTGGATTAGGGAATTACAGGAAAAATATGCACCAGTGTTTGATGGCTAATTAGGGACTGTAAATGGACAACAAGTTTCCTTAGAATTAAAGGAAGGAGTAACACCAAAAAATTTTAAAGCAAGAAGTGTGCCTTTTGCTCTTAGGGCTGGAGTGGAGGCAGAATTGAGGAGATTAGAGGAGCTGAATATCATCTCCCGGGTTCACAATAATGTGTGGGCTTCGCCCATTGTTCCTGTGAGAAAGCAAAATGGGGAAATACGGATTTGTGGGGATTTCCGCATGGCTCTTAACACACAGCTTAAAATAGATAAGTATCCCCTTCCTAGGGTAGATGATATTTTTGCATCATTGGCAGGTGGCCAGCAATTCACCAAAATTGACTTGAAAAATGCATACCTACAGTTATCTGTACATCCAGATTCTCGACCACTACTTACGATTAATACCCATCGGGAGCTATTCAGGTATAACTGTATGGTTTTTGGCATTTCACCTGCACTAGCTGTCTGGCAGCGAACAATGGACAAGCTGTTAGCTGGAATTCCTGGGACACAGTGCCTGTTAGATGACATGCTGGTGACGGGTAAATCAGAGGAGGAACATATACAGAATGTAGAGGCAGTTTTGCAAAGACTTATGGAATATGGATTGAAAGTGAATTTGGATAAATGCCAATTCATGCAGGATCGTCTTGAATTTTGTGCTCATGTAATTGACAAACATGGGTTGCATACAACAGATGAGAAGGTCAAGGCATTACAGGATGCTCCAACTCCACAAAATGTGACACAACTAAGGTCCTATCTTGGTCTGTTAAATTATTACAACCGTTTTTCGCCAAATTTAGCTCATGTACCCTTTACATCGTCTTCTAGAGAGTAAACGACAATGGTGCTGGACAGTAGAATGTGCTTCAGCTTTCCATAAGTCAAAAGAACTAGTGCGTAGTTCAAGTCTTTTAGTACACTACGATTTGGAAAAGCCTGTTTCCATGGCTTGTGATGCATTACCTTACGGACTGGGAGCAGTCCTGTCTCATTCCATGGCTGATGGGACAGACAGGCCAGTGGCTTTTGCCTCTAGATCGCTCACAGCTGCAGAAAAAAAACTATTCTCAAATAGATAAAGAGGCTCTGGCAATAGTATGGGCAGTAAAGAAATTCCATCTTTATATATATAGTCGACCCTTCACACTGCTTACGGACCATAAACCTTTATTGACAATTTAACCCACAGAAAGGTATTTCAATCACAACAGCAGCAAGACTTCAGATGTATGCCTTAACTCTGGGGGCTTATCAGTATCAGATACAATATCGTCCAAACGCTCTGCATTCTAATGCGGATGCATTCTCTAGACTTCTATTGAAAATGGATTCACAATTACTACCACAGAAAGATCTACAATATATTTTAGTGAGGTGATAACAGCCAGAGAAATTGCACAGGAGACAACCAAGGACTCTTTGCTTTATTGACGTGCAATTTGCCAGTAAACACCTTATACCCACCAAGAATAGATCTTCACTCCTGGCCATCGAGGCCATTGATGGGAGACCACTCTCT